CGGTATTATCTCACAGAAAACTGGGAAAGAGATTTAATAAGGGTGAATTATTAATATCTAATTGATCATTTAGTAAATTATCTGAATTTTTAAATCTATTTATTTCAAGTGTTTCTAAATGGTTTAATTTAAGGCTCTTATTTTCTACATGTAAAATTTCAAAGTTGTCTGTAAAAGAATGATTTTCAGCTAAAATATGATTTGAGTAAGTAGAATTATTTTTGTTTTTTGTATAGCTATTATAATGTTCGGAATAGCGTTTTTTGAAAGTACGGCCTGTTTGACCAATATACAATTTTGGACAACTACCACAATTTAATTTATATACCCCCGATTTATTATTAGGATTAATTTTACCCTTATTGTTTTTAATATACTTCCCAAGCGTATTATTGGTTTTAAAAGCTACGTTAATATTTTGGTTTTTTAAATATGATGATACCTTTTCACTAGGAGCTCCTATATATGTAAGACTCTTATATCTGCAATTTGGATCTTTAATTATGGGATAAACTTGTTGAATAGCCTGTTTAAAAAGTTTTTTCTCTAAAATGTTGTCTACTAACTTTGAATTAAAATTATTATTTACTGCGATTTGTTTAATGATATTTAATTCTTTTGTGAAGTTCTCTTTGGTAAGGGGAATATTAACTAATCTATGGATCATACTGTTGTATGCTGCCAGCTTTTGTTTGTATGGATGAGATGAACTATTATTTATTGTAATATCCGTATGTGATGGCTTATGAAATATCCCAAAACTATGGCCTTTATTATTTTTAATAATATTTAAGTCTAAAAAATTAATTGAATTATCCTTCTCTGTTTCCATAGTAAATTTAATATTAGGGTGTATAGTATTGATAAAAACTAATAAAGAATTTAACTGTCTACTAGTACCAGTAAAAGCAGTCAATATATCATCAACATATCTATGCCAATACAGACAATGTTTACTTAAATTATTGCTATGAATTTTATTTTCTATATTATCCATAAATATTTCTGCAAGCAACGGGCTTAATGGGTTCCCCATAATAAGACCTTCATTTGCTGAGTAGATGTTATTTTGAAATTGAAAATAATTTTGTTTTAGGCAAATGTTTAACAAATTTAGGATTTCTTCTTTGATTATAATATTGACTTGATTACGATCTAATAAGTTTTCTACTAGCTTAACTGTTTCTTTAGGAGGTATACTAGGAAATAAGTTTGTTACATCGAACGATACTAATTTTGTGTTACTAGGTAATTTAATGTTTTTTAATTTTTCTGTTAATTCATAAGAATTTTTTATACTATACTTTGAATTGAATTTGCAGTTTTCTTGTATAAGTTTAATTAATGTGTGTGAAAGTTTAACTGATGGAGCCGTGACAAATGACACAACTGGTCCATAGATTAGTTAATATTCCCCTTACCAAAGAGAACTTCACAAAAGAATTAAATATCATTAAACAAATCGCAGTAAATAATAATTTTAATTCAAAGTTAGTAGACAACATTTTAGAGAAAAAATTTTTAAACAGGCTATTCAACAAGTTTATCCCATAATTAAAGATCCAAATTGCAGATATAAGAGTCTTACATATATAGGAGCTCCTAGTGAAAAGGTATCATCATATTTAAAAAACCAAAATATTAACGTAGCTTTTAAAACCAATAATACGTTTGGGAAGTATATTAAAAACAATAAGGGTAAAATTAATCCTAATAATAAATCGGGGGTATATAAATTAAATTGTGGTAGTTGTCCAAAATTGTATATTGGTCAAACAGGCCGTACTTTCAAAAAACGCTATTCCGAACATTATAATAGCTATACAAAAAACAAAAATAATTCTACTTACTCAAATCATATTTTAGCTGAAAATCATTCTTTTACAGACAACTTTGAAATTTTACATGTAGAAAATAAGAGCCTTAAATTAAACCATTTAGAAACACTTGAAATAAATAGATTTAAAAATTCAGATAATTTACTAAATGATCAATTAGATATTAATAATTCACCCTTATTAAATCTCTTTCCCAGTTTTCTGTGAGATAATCCCGGTAATGGGCTATCTTATTGTTATTTGATGGATATTATAATTACCTAAGTACCCTTATTTACTTTAAATAGTTAGTTTATTTTGTAATGTTATTGATGTTTTCTTAAGTACTTTGTTTTGTTAAATTATTTCGTATATATATTGGATACCGAATTGTAAATAGTCACATTTGAAAAAGAAGTTGTACTTCGAAACATATGTCATGTTAGTGTTTTTTTAAAAATTTTTATTTTTTAAAATAAAAGTGTGATAATCTACCAAATTTGGTTTTACTCTTTCAAAAGTACTTTACCCATCACTTGTAAACTGATTGTGAAGGATGAACTCTGAAGTGCGCATAAGAGCTGCGATGCCATCGAAGCTGATTCTAGATCCTCCCATTGTGAAACTTCTTCAAGAGCCTCATTGACAGCACGTAACATTTCTTGAAGTTGTAATATGGAATCATGGCGCTCAACTTACCTAGTTGGGCAGATTTGTTTTAGGCGGGTAGATTTGGCTTCAGGAAACAGTTTCTCAATTGCTCCATTCGTTTTGGAGTGTTAAAGAAGAGTTTTGTTGCAGTCCCATTGCAATTTCTGATCTCATAAACTGAACATATAGCAAGGTTTAAGCTATGGGATGCACAATGGACATATATTGCAGTCGGATGCTCTTTCGTTACGTAGGCCTGTGCTCCGATGAATTTTCCACTCATTGCTAAGGTCCCATCATATCCTTGTCCCTTCGAAACACTTTGTATCGATTCCAAACTCCCGTAAGGAATTTAAAATGATTGTCTCAGGGTTCTTACCTGTTAAATCAGAAACAGTAACAAACTGAAGGAAATCTTCTGTAATACCATTATTATGTAAGTATCTCACGCCGATTGATACTTGTTCTTGCGTTGAGACGTCTGTCGTTTCATCTGCAAGAATAATAAAACATTTCGCTAAATTTACCAACTCAACCAATTTCTTCAGTATTACATCGTATTATTTTCATTTTGTGTTTTTGGTGAGAGGTAAAGTGCATATTTCGATCCTATTTCTAAATGACTTTTCAATTCCTTATCTCCTGAATTAACTCTGAATCTCAGAAGAATTTGGAAATTTCCCTCATTTTCAACAAGACGAATTTCCAAATAAGCTTCCCGTGGTCTCTATACCCTGCCGAACACAAAACAAACAGTTTCAATTATTGGTAGGAATGCGTATTATTTTCAATTAATTGTTGCTGCAGAGCTGTGTTTTGTAGCATTTGGACACTCGGTATCGTGCCTTTATAAGTTTTTAACTAATCTTCAGCCTTAAGTATACAGCGTTTATGGTATTCGTGGTTATTGAATTGTTTTACCGCGTCCTTCCAACGTCTGAAAGGCTTTTTTACTAAGACACCCAAAGTCTGGAGGCCTCTTCCTGCTCCAAAAGACGAAAACAATTAACAATATTTGCAGTAAGCTCCGTCTTCAAACTTGGAGTAGAGCAGCCATTTCCACCTTGACAACCATCTATACTGAAATTTAAGGTTTCGGGCTCCAGATCCCGGAAATTTGAAAATACATTCAGGAATCCAAGGGTTCTCCATTATCACTCTTCTTTCTTTATCGCCAATCTGCAAAAGATTTTGCACTTATTTAGTACATCAGTTAATTAAGTGGCGAGAAGACGATTCCACTCGCAAAAGCAGCAAAGATTGCTGGTAAGAGAGGGACTTTTGAATCTTGTTAAAAAGCAATCTCTTTCAATTTTTTATTTTTTTATAATTGTTACAATTTTTTTTCAATTTCTTCTAATCAGTGGGGGGACATAACCGCCCCGGTTATGTCCCCTCTTTACGCGCTTGAGTGTATGTATTATCCAACATTTCAAAACTATTGGAAAACATATTAAAAAAAAGACTTGACCATTTTCTAAAATATTTTCAGATTGTCAATATGGCTTTAGAGAAGGGCAATCAACTAATGATGCTATTTATGAATTAACATCTACAGTGTATAAATCGTTAAGCTAGAAAAATTCCAATCATAAGCATATTTCTCGATATCTCTAAAACTTTTGACACAGTGTGCGATAAAAAAAACTATTCGCAAAATTAGAAAAGTTCGTGGAAAATCTTACCAATATTTTTTAATGCTATTTATCTGGAAAACAGTCCAAATAGAAAGTTTCAAATGCAATATACAGGAAGTTACTTTTGGAGTCCCGCAGAGAACCGTGCTAGGACCGATTTTATTTTATTTTTTATATTTTGATATATTAAACAAATAATTTTTCCCTTGCCCTTTTATTTAAATAAGGGCAAATATGTAAAAATTTGTTCTTTTACATAATCTTTTTTTATTTTTCCGGAAGCCAATATAATCTAGTGATTTGAGTAGTGATTAGCGTGGATAATGTTTTTCTTATACCTTGTATGATGACATTTTAGTTATAATTTGTTGTCAAGTTTGAAAAATAAAAGGTAAAACAATCTTTAACAAATTTATTAATATATATTAAAAGGCAATATCTTGGCAACTCAAGCGTCATAGCGCTGAAACGTCCCGGCACTGAAACGTCTCGGCACTGCAGCGTCCTGGCACTGAAACGGCGGCCCTGAAACGGCGACACTGGAACGTCTCATTCCCGTTTCATAAACTTATTGCAAAGCTTTAAAAACTGTAATTTAGAAGTAATCATGACTTGTGAAAGTTTGGTTTTCATAGCAATTACTATTTTTACATTCAATTTCGGTATCTTACATTTAGGACCAATCTTTTCACATCCAAGTAAAGTTAAAAGTAACTTGCTGATTAAACTTTAAGGCTATTGTTCGTTAGTCTGTCAAGTAAACCTACAAGTAACTTTACTCAGAGGTGAAAAGATCGGCCTTTATTATCATATTGGATTTAAAGTTGGACTGTTTACACTCTATACAACACAGATTATCTAATGCCCTCTACTTAAAAATACTAATAATTTACAGATTCATGTTCGAAGGTCGAGAAATTAAATTGGTTTGGAACTGTGCTTCCTTTATTACTATGAATCCAGGGTATGCCGGCAGAACTGAATTACCTGATAATTTGAAAGCCTTATTTAGACCTATATCAATGATGGTACCTGATTATGGTAAACAAAACTAATTAGCCAGATCAACAATTTGTTAAAAACATTAAAATTTTATTTTTAGGTTTGATTGCAGAAGTAATTCTGTATTCCGAAGGATTTGAATCATCGAAAACCTTGTCCCGAAAAATGGTTAACATGTATAAACTGTGCAGTGAACAGTTATCCCAACAAGATCATTACGATTTTGGAATGCGAGCTGTCAAAAGTGTGTTGGTAATGGCCGGCGCTTTAAAACGTGCAAATCCAGATAGAAACGAAGACGTAGTACTGATATGTGCTTTGAGAGATAGTAATTTGCCCAAGTTTTTATCTGATGATGCTGTTTTGTTCAAGGTTACTACTTTAGAATCAACTAATCGACTTTTTATAAAGAATAACATTTTTCCTAATATTAATAATAAAGTCGAGCATGATCTAAAACCTAAAATACAACCATCGGATATCAAATTTTATCAGTCGTATACGAGGTTTATCAAAAATAAAGGTACTTTACTCTCCAGCAAGAATCATATTTTAAATTTTGGACCATTAGGAACTTTTTATCAAGAATAATTTTTTTCACAAAACCAATAATAAAAAAGTTTTTCATCTGGTTCCAAGATAGTGAGACATATTGTATAATATATAATATACAGTGTGTTCTATAAAGTTGGATGGATATGGGAATTTTTTTAACATTACGATTGAAAAAAAAAACATCGTAGATCATTCATGTCAGGCACCTCTGCTCATAGGTTTATTAGATTTTGTCCGTACTATATTTTTGAATCATTTGTAGACTCCAGTTGATTTGAATTTATCAGAAAAAATAATATTTTAGGGTATTTTGGGAGATCTATTTCCAGGCGTTGAATTACCAGTACCAGATTACGGTCTTTTCCAAGCTACAATTATTGAATGTATGGTCGAAGCTAACTTGCAACCAGAATTCTGTATGATCAACAAAGTTATCCAGCTATACGAAACCATGATAGTGCGTTGGGGTGTAATGTTGGTAGGACCCACTGGTGGAGGAAAGTCTGTTATTCTTAGTGTAAGTTTGTTTTAATTTTGCGTCGTAAGTATTGATATTTTTCAATTTAATTTGTAGACATTAAACAAAACATTGGTTAGAATGCACGCTATGGGAATACCGGGAAATATGTTTCGTCCCGTACGATCTTATATCATGAATCCCAAGGCCATATCCGCCGGCGAACTATATGGAGAAGTGAACCCTTTCACATTTGAATGGAAAGATGGTCTTATGGGTATTATGATGAGGACAGCAGTCACCGTAAGTCTTAAATTAATTTGATTTATAATAAATTTTCCAATAAACAATCAACTGCCGGAAAACTGATGGCCCATTGCCGCGGCAATTGACAAGAAGATGTTAAAAAACCATTATATTTTTATGGTTTGTAGGCCATCAAACGATTTTTTTTAGAAAACTAATAACCTGTATTGATGGTTTATACATAACTAGGATTAGAATTTCCGATGCATTGTTATTCCATTGCATATTCCTTCTGTCTATTTTAAAACAATTAATCAGCTAAAATCCTAAACTGTGGTACCTAGATTCACTGCATTAAGTTTTCGTTGATATAGTATTTCTAATATTACAACATGGCAGTATAATATACCGTATTAGTGTGACGTAGTGAATCAAACAAAAACCAAACCATTCTAATTAATTTGGCCATTTTTTATATGCCATTTTTTAATATACAAGGTGTTAGAAAGAAATGTACACACTTTAATGTAGGTTTGGGACAATTAGATGATTCGTTATTATTGGGTCCAGCTATTGATATAAAATAAAGAGGAGAATGCTATGACAATAATAAAAGTATCCACGCCTCTGCATCACACTTTTATGTCATCTGTCAAACTCGAGATAGTAAAGCTAGTCAGTTTTAGTGAGAATAACTGCCATTTTTTGAAACTAGCTTCATTTAAATTATATAAAACCATTTTCGTTTCATCAATATCTATTATTTTTTTACACATCAAAAGGAAATATAAATAATAGAACATCAAAGTAAACTTGATTTGATGCAACTTCCTACACCCCCACTAAATGAATCATCTTTCTTTTTCCCAAAGTCCAACTGCTCTTCGAATTTTCTGAAATGCTTCTTTAGGTAGTTGCCTAGTAAGTCCATTTTTAAAGTGTGACAATATTCCAGATGTATTATTTCAGTATTCACTAAATCTCTCAAATGATGGTATTTTACATCAATATGTTTAGTCCTTTGACTAAATTTCTCTTCACTAGCAATTTTAATACATCCTTGGTTATCTTTGAACACAGGAGTGGGTTCTTCACATCCAATGTCAAAGTCTGAAAGTAAATGTCTACTCCAAATCAGTTCTTGGCTAGCTAGAGATGCAGAAACATATTCAGACTCAGTGGAAGATAAAGCTACTGATATCTGCTTCTTACTTGTCCATGAAATCGGGTTGCCCTCATGGAAAAATATAAATCTACTAGTCAATTTGCGATCGGAACTATAACCCGCCCAATCTGAATCTACATAACATCTTAATAATAAGTCTGAGCTGGAGTTTAGTTTCAGTTTTAAATTACTTGTTCCTTTCAAGTATGTCACCACTTTCACCACTCTTTTAATGGCTTCACATTCCTTTGTCTTGGTGTACTCACTCTTCTCGTTAAAAAGTTTACTGCTGCTGCAATATCGGGTCTAGTCATTGTAGATACATATAGAAGTTACCCTCACTATTTTTCGATATTTCTCGTTATTTGGTAATAAGTTTAGTTCTTCTGTTAAATTTAAATATTCAATTAGTGACTGTATTTTGTTTTCTTGATTAAGCAAGTAAAAACCGTCTTTTTCTAGTTCAATTCTTATTCCCAAGACAGATCAGGATATCGTCTATGAATAAATACGGATCATTGCATATTTGCTTAAAATCAAATTCTTGTAGAGTTTCTTTTAGCTTGTGATTCCAAGCGGTGGTAGCTTGCTTCAAGCCATACACAGATTTTTGCAGTTTGTATACTAAATGTTGTTTTTCTGTATTTAAAAAATAACTTGGTTGTGTCAAGTAAATTTTCTCCTCGAGTTCACCGTTGAGAAAAGCTGTTTCTACGTCATAGTGTCTTATGGCCAATTTAAATACAGCAGCAATAGTAAGAAGAATTCTAAAGCTACATTGTTTCATTACTGGAGCGAAGGTATTGTCATAATCTTCGCCAAATTTTTGTGTATACTCCTTTGCTTTGTACTGAGAAATCTTTTCATTAATGTCTGTTTTAATTTTGAAAACACACTTAGAATCTATTGATTTCCTATTTGAAGATAATTCAGTAAGATACCAAACTTGTCTTTCTGTAAAAGAATTTAGTTCGTCTTCCATAGCTTTCTCCCATTTTATTTTTTCAACTTCTGGAAATGTCATCAAATCCTTTATTGATGTTGACTTTTTCAAAAATTCCTCATTCGACACTAGATATGACCATTTTTCTGGAGATTTGCTCTTTGTTTCTCTTTCTGATCTTCTGATTCTCTGATCCTGTTGGATTTCTTCATTTTTACTACGATTCTTATTATCATTATCTTTACTGTAAAATTCGCAATTGTCGTTTTCTTTGTTTCCTAAAACGCCATTAGGTTTATCAGTTTTATCTGCATTCTATCAAGCAGTTTCATTTTCTTTTGATATTTGAATACATTTCTAAACTATTTCAATATTTTTGGTTTCCAATCTCTTATAGTCCAGATAATGAGTATTTTATATAAATTTAACTAATCTAGCATGTTTTCAATAACTAAAAAAGATACCTTTCTTAGCTTTTCTGTCACATTTTGTTTTCTTTTGAGCTGGAATATAGAAATAAATAGTACCAAGGCTCATAACCTGTCGTTTAAATGTATTTCTTACTACCAGTTAATACCACAAGTCTATTTTTTATTTAAATTGTAGAGAAACTAATTTTTTAATCGTAAATAAAGTAATAAGTAAATTTGATGGAAGTGGGTGACTTGAGGCAGGTGTCGTCCACTGACGACTCTCTGGAATTCACCTAGCAGCTAGGTCTTCTGGCCAAAGTCTTTTTAAGCGTCTATCGATGAGTGGAGGGTTAAAGAGTTCGACTATGAGGTGGTTTGGATGGTTTTCACTGCGATTCATATATTTTCTGGAGTGGTGGGTAATCACATCATCTATGAATGGAATGTTGATGTGTGCATGAAGGGTTTGGTTGGAAACGTACCATGGGGCGTTAGCTAACTTTCAATAGTCTTGGACTGGAACGTCTGTAGTATTTTAGTGTTAGATGGTTTGCTGCAGCCCCACAGCTTTATTCCGTATGTCCAGACTGGTTTGAGTATTGCTTTATAGATGACCATTTTGTTTTCTAATGATAGTTTCGATCTTCTGTTGATTAACCAGCTCATATTTTTAACTTTTAGGTCAAGGTGCCGTCGTTTAGCTTTAATATGTTATTTCGAAGTAAGTTTTTCGTCTAAAAGAAGTTCAAGGAATATAAGTATAGTTGTGGACATCTAATTCTACGATTTGTGAAATTAACGACAGGATTTGTTGGTGTTGACTTTAATTTTCCAGTGACTAAGCCAATTTTCTAGTTCGTTGAGGTGGTTATAACGTATGATCATACTGATAGGTATGTCAGCAGTGAAAATTAAGTACATAAACGGGCTGAGTACACTGCCTTGAGGTACTACGGATTTTAGTTGATGGTAGTTGGATAAAGTTTCTTCATATTTAACTTGGAAGTATCTGTCAGACAAATATGATTTCAGGAGGAGGTATGATTGGTCGGGTAAATTGGTTTTGATTTTAACGAGGAGACCCTCATGCCACACTTTATCGAATGCTTGCTGTATATCAAGGAATGCTGATATACAGATTCGTTTTTCTTCTAAGCTCTCTTTTATTCTGTTGACTAACCTATGGCACTGTTGTATGGTTGAGTGACTTGAGCGAAATCCAAACTATCATTGATCAGATTTTCTAGAGGTATTGTTGTTTCTATTCTGTTGAGAATAAGCCTTTCAAAGACTTTTGATAAAGTCGGAAGGAGACTTATTGGTCGGTACGAACTAGCTTCAGTTGGAGATTTACCAGGTTTAGGTATCATTATAATTTGTGCGTACTTCCATTGCACTGGAAAATAGCATAGCCTAAGGAGGCTATTGAAAATTATAGTTATTAGGACGATACCTTTTTTTGGGAGATTTTTTAAGATTTCGCCAGTTATAAGGTCAAATCCGGGAGCTTCGTGTGGGTTGAGAAGTTTGATTTCATTGCGGACTTCACTCGGTGAGAAGTATTTCAGTGGTAGTGACAACTGACAGGGGGCATTAAGGAAGGCTCTAATTTCATCGTCATTGATATCGTTAGGTTGTGAGGCGGAGAAAACAGTTGATACATGTTTTGCGAATCTATTGGATTTTTCTGGATCAGACTGAGCCCAAGTTCCATCGATTTTTTTAATTGGAGATTTGGCTACTGTTGGTTTCTTGAATTTTTTTGTGGCTTTCCAAAGGGAGTGGTCGTCAAGAGATAGGTTGGTAACATATGTTTCAAACGATTCGTTTTTGGCAGTTTGGATAGCACAGCGAAGTCTGCGTGTGAGTCTGTCTAGATTTGTTTTATCTAATGGATTTCTTGTTGTTTGCAATTTACGACGGGCTCTTCTTCTATCTTTCACTAGTGTTCTAATGTGGTAAGGTTTACTGCATCTTCTTCAATTATTTTTTCATTTACAGGAGTAGCTTCCCAAGCGGCGCTTTGAAGTTGTTCTGTTAGGTATTTTAGTCGTATGTCTAGAGATATTTTTTCATTGATTTTATCATGAAACTAATTCCAATTTGTGTTTCTGGAGCAGAGCCTTGATGCAGGTGTTTTCCAAATTATACTAGTACTTAAGGTTATTATGAAGTAGGTACTTAAGGTTATTATAAAGATAATTAAAGATGTTCCTTTAAAAACAACACATATGTCCAAAAATGCCTAAATTGAGTTAATTGTGATAATTAGTGGTCGATTTATATACTAGCACAATTTGTAATTTCCTGAAAAGTAACACACATCGATATAAGTAATCGCTGTCAAATATAGAGAGTTTTAAACTATGCAATATTATATTGACACGTTGGGCTCCAATTTGCAATATTACCCTGACACTTTGCCCGCCATTTTGTAATATTATTCGTTAACTTTTGATAAATGTAATTTCAAAACACTTATAGAGATTTTTACTAGCTCAGTGAAATTTAATAGCAAATGTTACTTACCTTAAAAATTAAAAAAAAAATAAATGAGCACATTGACCATACTTTTCTCTGTCGTGAATTCGGCTTTTCAAATAGACAATTTTAAGGGTAGTAATTTCTCTAGGAAATTTTGGGCACCAATAATTCTCTTTTTTATTTTTAAAAGCTAGTGAGAATTATAAATTCTAGCTTTATCAATAAAAAGAAGTTAATAAAAATTATACAGAATTTAGTGTGAATGAAAGAGAATTTTTGTAACCTTTAAAAAAATAAGATTCAACATATATACTATGTATTTAAAAAAACAAGAAAACGTTTGAAAAACAAATTATTTACAGTTGTCAGGTATCAAATTTTGATTCGTACATAAATAATTTTAGTCAATAGTAATTACCACATTTTTGCCTTTTTGCTAGCCGTTTCTAGATAGCCATAGGTAGTTGAGATTTCTGCCCCTCGGAAACCAACGCCTTTGTCGGTTACTCTATCTTCTTAGTAAGCTTTGAGTTGTAGCTGTCGCTTTTCCAATTAACTCAGCTCGATCAAGAGATTTCTGCTCCTCGGGAACCAACGTTCAGATTACCGCATGTGGTTTACAGTGGTAGATTTATGGCAGTTGAGTTATGTCGTTTGAGTTATGGCTTTATGGCTGATTCCATTCGTTTTCTAGACAAAAATAGATTTTGTTTTTCACGTGGCTCTGTACGATATATACATTTGAAACATCTACTTTAAAAAAAAAATGAACCAATAGATAATAAAAACTAGTGACTATACATATTGTGCCGTTCTAGCAACCAGAATGAATCATAAAAACATATTTAACTTTACTATCAAAAAACTAATAATTAACAAAAGGTTTGAATAATATTTCTACTGAGATATTTAATAAAGACATTATACTTTTTATGCTTACCACTGTAACAGCCAAGGCACCACCGATACGATCAAAAGGTAATAATAAAATGAAATTTACAAATCTAATTTGAGATCGTTTGGTTAGTGGTACTCCCACTTCAAGTAATTTCCCTTTCTTTAGAATATTGTGTGTTGGCGATAATTGAATTATACCGGATGGCACACATTTAAAATAACATTTTATAATTAGACTTTTAAAATGTTACAACTAACAATCTTACCGTTTTTGTAAAAAGGTCTTTAATTGTTTCAATTTATATTGGAAATGATAAATTTTATGTTTTCAATATAAAATGTTTATGCAGGTGACTCTAGAAGAACATCAATGGATCGTCTGTGACGGACCAGTCGATGCTGTTTGGATTGAAAACTTAAATACAGTGTTGGATGATAACAAGATGTTGTGTTTGGCTAATTCTGAAAGAATCAAATTGACTGAATGGGTACACATGGTGTTTGAAGTAGAAGATTTGGCGCAAGCCTCACCAGCTACAGTAAGCAGGTAAAAATGAGTAAGAATTCGTTTGTCAGCAAAAGAGAAATATGCGGTTGGTATTAGTATTTCAAAGGTATTTATTAAAAATACATTGTCAGCTTAGAGGTTATTATAATTGGTTATTACTGAAAAAGGTGTTTTATTGCTACAAATAACGAGTTATTGAGAAAAATCAACTTTTAACAATATATGGGAAATTGTCCCATTCCCAATAAGGATAAATTATATACCAACTGAAAGATCTTCTTAAAGAAAACATTTCTTTTCATTACGACTCAACTCAATTACTTATTCGTTCTATAGTTATATTATCTAATTGCAACTAATTGCACGATAGGTCAGTGCTTTTATTCTATAACTGTAGTGCTTATTACAGGCAAATAATAGTAATTATTGCTTCCTTTTCTGTTTACTTCTTTCATACAATCCTTGTCGAGCCATTCCTTTTTTATGCACTTTTCTTGTGATTATATTGTTTCTTGTAGTTTCCCTTATGGCGTTTTCTAAGTAAGATAGCTTCGATAACTTAGACAGCTTAGCCTCTTGTTTTATAGCAGTTGATATATTTATTCATTCTTTATGTTAATAATAGGGCATACCTGGTGACAAAAACACTTGTTGAATCTATTAATAGCTAACAATCCCATAACTATATCAGACTGAACTATCTGAATGACATAAATTTTTTTACAATCAAAATATCTTTTAAAATTTATCATTAGAAAGATCTTAATGAACGTTTTTGAAAATGTTTTAGATGTGGCATGGTATATGTTGACACGGAAGAAATAAGATGGTTTCCTTACGTGAAATCGTGGATGGCCAGCATTCCCGATACACTTATAAATCCGGAAATGAAGGAATTCATTTTAGGACTATTTAATAATTACGTCGATAAAGGATTAAAGTATTTGAAACGACATGGACATGCTTCAATACATCAGGTATTTAAATAAATAAAATATTTAAAGAAGGAAAATCATGCTTTCATATTTCACTCACGTTTTCCATTTATAGCATTAGTGCTATAATATTCACTGGATAGAATATTTGATATCGTGAAAATGTGTTTCAACAAGGGCACCGAAAGTGCTCTGAATTGGAAAGTTATAGCGGCAAATTTGAAATTCTATAAACAGCTAAAAAGGGGTGGGTAAATGTAGATGTTTTAATAGAGAATCTTGTTAACTATAAAGTGTATGTTAAATCTGACCCCCTATTCTCGATCTCTTAAAAAAAAAAAAAACCTAATGCCATTTTCAAAAATTGGCTAATGTTTTTTGTTTTCGAGTTATAAACAAAAGTTGTTTTTTTTTTTTCAATTTTTCATTATGTGGCATTATATTGCTTATTTATGAAAGTGGAAGAAAATAATTTTTACCTTCTTTAGGCACTTTTTTGATAAAAATCCAGTGGCGTAGTCCATTTATTTAAAAATTTCTTCAAATTTGAGTTATAGTATAAAGTTGTATTTTTTTATATGGAACGGGTAGTTTGGCTGTGGCTTACAAAAAAGACATAAATTTACCCATTCTGTATATTGCTATGGAAACACCCTGTATATGAAATTAACAAAAATACAAAATCTCAATTGGGGTGGGTTGAAAATCTAGAAAATAATTACAATAATTTGATACTAATTTAATGATAATTTATTAAATAATCCCGTTTATTTTAGGTTGATATAAGTAAAGTAAAGATGGTTTGTTCGCTAATAGAAAGCTTTATAAGAATGCCTGGCGCAATGGAGAAAATAGGAGAAAAAAGCAAAGTACGAAACTTTTTGTGCCAAACTTTCATTTTAGCGTACGTTTGGGGTCTTGGAGGTAATTTAACAGATATAAGTAGAGAAAAGTTTGAAGGAAAATCAAGCGATCAATTTGGAGAGAATCCGGATTCTAAGTAAGTACATATAAAAGTATAAATTAATAAACAATATTGTCATTTAATATTGAGAAGAATAGTTATTTTCATTAAAATAACTTATAGAAGAGAAATTTTCTCGGAGATTTTACAAGAAACCTGAAATTTAAATAAAATGTTTTAACCTAGTTTTAAAAGTAACAATTCTATTTTGGAGAATGATTTATCTTTCCAACGTAGATTGTCTTCTGCTTTCAAAGATACCGTCAGACAAGAGATGTTTATTTAGAGTGAGATTACAGAACGTCTGCAACTTTGCAGATCTGCAACTTTGCAAATCTGCTAATATGGCGGACTTACAAATGCAAGTATTCTAAAAAATATCTGCAAATTCGCAATATTTATTGTGGTTTATTACCCCCCAAAAACACTAAACCCAAATTTGGAATACGAAAACTTGATACTTACATGTGTAAGTCAGTCATATTTGCAGATTTTCAAAGTTGCTGCCATATTTGCAGATCTGCAAAATTGCAGACGTTCTGTGATCTCACCCTTGATTGAAGATTGATCTTTTTTCAGTATTTATTTCGTATTTTTTAAGTTTTATTTTTATAATATTTTAGAATATTTGATATACTACTTGTAATTGTAAGGTGTCCTTTTTTTTATAATGAAAATGACGAAAAAATTTAAGAAAAAATTATAATATAAATAACTGAAAAATTTTATTAATTCAAACAAATACACTAATTATGTTTGCATCTCTTTTAATTAATGAAACGGAATTTTTTCATTTAATGGATATTTTTAGTCAATATATTGAATTTTACGGTAAGTGCTCCAACCAGAGTATCTACAAACCGAGATTAACGGATTAGTTTTACAATATTGAAAAGGAGAACAGGTAAAAGGACATTTTTCGAAGAAGAACAGAAACTACAAAACGATGGCTTAAGTGCAAAACGTCGTAACCCACAAAATTTCAAAAATTCGTATTTCGCGCCATTGGAGTCGTATGTTTTAGCTGCGTCTTGTGAAAAACTATCGTAAGCAACAGTATAAAATGAAATTAATTTTACGCGCCAAAACAAAAAGTTACTCTTCGAAATTACATCTAAAGTCTATTTGGTTTTTTATTATCCTGTAAAATTTACTTTTTGGGGTTACGACGTTTTGCACTTAAGCCATCGAAAAGAAGGACTGTCCTTTCTAAAGGAGGACAATTGGTCACCTTAGTAATTGAGATGTGTTGTTTTATTTTATAGCTAATGGGGCTGAGTCCAGCTGATCTTAAAGCTCAGAGGGAATTGAAAAATCTTGAAAGTTTGGGAGTAATTGTATGTTCGGTTGGAGGAGTTTTTTTTTGCAGTTTGCGGAATAATAGAAGGCGCGGATGGCACCAGGGGATTTGTAGATTGTTTTGAGGATGCGTGTTCGAGCCTTTCAAAGTGCAAGAGACGTACTGTTTCCTGAGCTTTGAAAACGAGAGAGAATTGGCGTGTAGGAGATGTTTTCGGCAACTTTTCCGCTGGTAGAGCAAAAGGGAAGATATTGCAACGTCGAAATAAGTCTCTCTAGTATGGTGAGTTGTGGGCTAGATGAGATGAAAGGAATTATTAGTATATAGGGAGTTGCATCATTGAAATCATGCTCACAAAGCTCCAAGGCTCGCCATCGCGTCTTATCAAGAAAACATTGACAAGTTGGGAATGTGAGAAAATCGCTTTCCCCAATAGTCGACTTCTGTCTATTTGGCGAGTTTAGTGAGTCTGACTCTCAGGAGATTTATATTAACTTTCTGGTGAAGCTATGTGGCTCTTTGTGTTTGGATGTTTACGAGGATGTATCAGAAAATAACGAGACTGGTGCTATAGTATAACAACGAAACATTTATTTAAAAAAATTCAACAACTATCCTTCGAAGTACTCTCCAATCTGTTGAATACACTTATCCCATCGCTTTATCCACTTATCATACACTTCTGAGAAACCATTTTTTGATAGTCTGTTTAGTATACCCATCACAGCGTTGTTGAGCTCTAAATCCGACTCAAATCTTCTACCTCTCAATTCTTTTTTTACTTCAGGAAACAAATGGAAGTCACATGGAGCAAGGTCAGGAGAGTAGGGGGATGAATCATAATTTCAACCCCTTATTCTTCAATTGTTCGTTGACAAATCATTGATCTATGAGCCGGAGCATTGTCGTGATGCAGCGTCCAGCCAAAGTCCTGATAAAGCGGCCTTTTTTCTTTAATTTTGCCTTTAAGGGTCCTCGAAGTACATTAGAATAGTACTCCCCTGTTATTGTATGTCCTCTAGGTACAATGTGATCGTAAATAATACCAAATTTATCAAAAAAATCAGGTGCACCACTTTGCCAGCGCTTTTAGCAGTTTTGGCCTTCTGCGGTCTTGGGCTGCCTTTATGCTTCCATTGCATACTTTGAGACTTCAATTCAGGATCGTAATGATAAAACCAACTTTCGTCACATGTAACCACATTATTTAAAAACTGTGCGTTACGTTGCAATTGCCTTTTCCACTGCTGACAAATTGTCACTCGATTCGCTTTTTGTTCATCGGTCATCACTTTTGGAATCCATCTTGCCGCGATCTTCCGGTACTCTAAATCTTCATGAATAATTTTTTGAGTGGTACCGTAAGACAAATTAACATTGTCAGAAATTCGTTTTATGCCAATCCGGCGATCATTTTGTATCAAGTCGTTAATTTCTGCAATTTTTGTGTCATTTCTCGCAGTTTGTGGTCGACCGGGACGAGGTTCATCTTCAACTGATTCACAACCGTCTTTAAACTTTTTATGCCACTCAAACACTCTACAGCGTGATAAACTATTTTCTAGATATGCACCTTTAATCATTTCAAAAGTTTCAGTTGGTGTTTTACCCAATCGAACACAAAATTTTATCGCGTATCTTTGCTCCACTTTCATTTTTCGATGGGTACGCAAAACACTGACAATTCAATAATTAATTTGTAACAAACGTCAAAAGTTAAATCAAAGCCTACTTGCGGGGTAGTACATTAAATATAAGGCTTTCATGTCTCATTTTTTGCGTTATAAAATGTTACCTCTGAAAGAAGTTATAGCACCAGTCTCGTTATATACTGATATATCCTCGTAAAAGTGATGAATTGTGTTTTTTTTTTTTGTAAATTGAGAAAGATCATATATCTTCTACACCAGCGGGAGTACTAATTCAGTAGATTTTGGATTCGGGTACTTAGTAGGTCAGAATATTTAGCTATCGAGAGCAGAGGAATATCATCAGCATAAATAAAACATTTTAACGAAAAGTGGTTTGGGGTGGAAGAACTAGGGTGTATATGATGTATAGTAAAGACACAGGGCTTCTTCTCCAGCAAGTAGGGTAAATCGGTCTGACAGGGCGTTGCCGTTTTTTTTAGGAGGGTTAATTTTCTATGAGCCCTCAGGCGACTCTCAAAACTACTTTCTTTGAGTAGTGAGGGTTTATACCTACTAAAACCCCTCCTCCTAGGTTCGTACCATAGGACGACGACACTATTCTTAGAAGGATTTATTATCGTGCGTCCTATTCGGGCTTACATTTGTAGTTTTTCTAGTCTATATCCTGCCTGGTATGGCTTTTTTCTTTATCATTCTCTTGCATAATTCTTATTTAGTTCCAGTATCCAAAACGTCATGTTTTTGGATTATTTTCATTATTTGTTATCAGCAGTTAATGGCGAACCCAGTATTGCTTCTAAACCTAACCTTAGATTTTCCAATTTTGGGCACTAGAACAAAGTATGGTAAAGTGTGTCTTCTTTCATGTCATATATATACAGGCTGTCGTCCGTCTTTCCGATTCTGTGTGTATAGCTTCTAAAAAATTCATTTCCTTTTAGAAATTGACTAAGAAATATGTTCTTCTGAACTTAAAATCAAACCAACCTTCGATAGTCGGTATTAGCCTTCGTGTCCAAGCTGCCTTATTTGTATTTGTCTCTGATCTATTTTGCCTGGATTCTAGTATTTTATTCCTTCCCTCCACTTGAATATTTTCTCCTTTTTGATGAATTATGCATCTTTTATCTATTAGTAGTGTTGCGGCTAAAATATTGTACCTTTTAATAAGGTCTAGTTTTTCGCGTATTTTTATTCTCAAGCGTGTGATAAGTACACAGTGTGTACAGTGTCCAGCCGGCAGTCGCTAATTACTATTTGCACCGTTTATATCGAGTATACCGCTAGACAACGTGAAGTGTATGGGCAACCGAACGGCTGATTCCCGATCAATTTGTAGAGAAACACAAGGTGAGTCTGTTTGAGCTATCCGAGTATAACTTTCACCCCTTTATCCGCATCAAGTAGATCAAGTGGAATGTAACCGGTAATGACTTGTAAAGCGTCTACTAAAACCGCTCTGTATGTCGAAGCTACTTTTAGCAACATTTTCGTTGGGTGCTAATGATGATGCCGTTATATATTTTACTTTGGTTATCCTATTTCCTGTCGGTGGGGCGAAGAGTACAGTTAACTACATAATGCCGTTAAGCAGAAACCTCTTGCGGGTGCCAGGACCTCCGATAATTGGCATTATATTTGTCAGCCTTTTATGTTCATTAAACATAAGTCTATCATCGATCCAGACTCCGAGGTATTTGACAGCTCGTACGAGAGTTATAATTTCATTGGCGACCTGAAATAGGACATCGTCTATTTTCCTCTGATCTGTTACAATAACACTTTGTTTTCTCTGGAGCTTAGCTCAGGTTGTGGTTTTTTATCCACTATTGGATCTCGAATAGGGCTATGTTGGCATTATACATAAGGTCGTCTTTCGTTTTGGAATTTGTTATTAATACAAGGTCGTCAATAATACACGAACTTAGGTAAGACACTAAAGTTGGAAGTCGATTTGAGGCTCTGAGGATGGAGTAGTCGATAAGCAGATTTCTATTTTGATTAAAAATGGCATTATTCATTTTGTGCGTTTTTATACATAATATAAATGGTCGCGTTTGTCTACAATAAAGTATACAAATGCTAAAATTAATGGTCTATATTTATCAGATCAAAATCAAAACGACAGAATTATTAAATTAGAACATTTCTAAATTTGGTTTTGATAAATATGTAATTTATAATAACAAAATGGACTACTAAAACTCAAAGAGAAGGTGCCATATATTCTCAAAAAAAAATGTTTATTTTAGAATACAATCTGGATTCGATTTATGGGAATTGTACATCGATATTGGAGTACATAAGTTACAGCCGTGGCAAAATATAATACCCCCTTTCACATACGATGTCGAAGTACCATTTTTCGAAATGCTGGTACCCACCATGGATACTATACGATTCGGATACATCATGGAACGACTACTATACATCAATCACCCAGTTTTGTTAACTGGAGAAACTGGTATGGTTTTTAGAAAAATATTTTATAAATTAAGCTACTTTTTAAAATGGTCCAAAGAATCAGAAAATATGAATTTCGTTTGTAGGTGTTGGTAAATCTGTTGTGGCAAAAGATTGCTTGCAAAAACTATTAGCATCCGAAAATTTTACCACTGCTACCATGAATTTCTCTGCACAAACTAGCAGTTTAAGAACACAGGAAATAATGGAACTCAAGTTAGAGAAAAAGAAGAAAACCCTACTTGGAGCGCCCGTTGGGAAAAAGGTTGTTATCTTCGTTGATGATGTTAATATGCCAAAATTGGATACATATGGTTCGCAGCCTCCTATTGAACTGTTAAGGTACTATTTTTAAATATAATTCAAAAATAATTAATGGTTCTTACCAAATTTCGCCGTTTCGATAATCGAAATTCCTCATCGTCAATGTTATTTATCATGTTATTATCATGTTATTTAGCAATAAAAAAGTTTATTTTTAATAATAGAGCACCATGGAAAATCATGTATATAGGATGTTTCAAAGTGAAATGTATTGATATACAAAAATCCCTATGAGATTTTGAATTTGCCCTGATCATTCTCAAATTATGAAGGGTAGTGCGAATATCTTTTAATTTTAGAAACTTTTTATTAAATTGAATTTGCCCCTGGACACAAGAATGTGCCCCTGGACTTGAAAACTTCGCATATCTCATTTCCCTATCATTAACTATAGGTGTGAGACACTTCATTGATTGGAAATCAAACAATATCAATTTGTCTACACATCTCATCACCTAGATATAACGTGTTTTATGAATTTTATTTGAATTTGTTTTTGGTCAAAATTTAACAACCACCCTGTGTAAAAATTTCAGTTTTGACAGGTAGATTTTACTCGATATATAAAAAATATTGCCTAGTTAGTTCAAAAAAAATATCGTTTCTTTCTACCTCAAAACCATCTTGTATAACAAAATTTTGCATATAAGACTGTATATTTCGAAAGAACAGAAAAATGTCTTTTAAAAAGTCACCTATTTGTTTAAGACCTTATTTTTTACTTAAATATTAACTTCAAGATTTTAAAATAAATTTCATATCATAAAATGCGGAAAATATTTTTTTTTCCTATGTAATTAATGGTCTAAATTTTATATTATTTCAGTTACATACCGATTTTAATATAATATTGAAAATGTTTTACAGGATTGTTTGTAGATAACTAAACTATTAGTTTTTATTTTATAATAAAAAATTGGGAAATTAATTGAAAAAAAAATTATGAAAAAAATATACAGCCTAGAAAGTCGTAAACAAAATAATAATTTTTATTTCATTTAATAAATAAACTGTTTGAAACAATCAAAACCTAACTAATTAAACAACTAAATCTAACCTACTAATTATTCAAAATTAAAACCATTCTGCAGAATACATAATGTTGTTGCTCTTTCGACAATTTCTTGGATTGTCACTTATATTTTCCCAGGTTTATTTCATTTTTTTTTTTTTTTTTTGGTCGCAGTTTCACTGTATTTTTCCTATAAGAATAAAGGGTTTACCATCCGATTGCATTTAAATTCCGCTAATTAAATGGTGTCAATGCATATTTGTCTGAACATTTCCATGTTTAAATGGACAAATTATATGATGAAGCCTTAATTTACTATAATAAAACAATTTAAAAATAAAATGACATTTTATTTTAAATTTGAAATTAATGCAAAAATATAATGAAGTAAACTTAAATAAAAATATAATTTAGCAATATATTTGACTAGTTTCAAATCATAAAAAAGTCAATTCAGTTGTTTTATGATTTAAAACTAAAGTCTATTCAGATTTCGAAAAATATACTATCGTCGGCAGATATGATAGAAGTAATACAGACCATGGTGGAACTCTAATTTTATCCTTAGACAAGGACTTTTCTGCTGTATCTAAATACGACTTTCTACAAAATGAAAATTTCTTCGAATTTTCCATTGTAAACAACAAAAACATTGATTTGTTTATTATTTGTATTTATAGAACACCTTAATCAAATGTTCACCTCTTTCTAGAGAATCTTCTTAATCTACTTGACGCATTGCCTATAAAAAGTAAGAAAATTTTATACAGCGATTTTAATATTGACTTTGCTAATGTATGTGCTACTCAAAAGTCTTTGATCAATATTTTTGAATCATTCAGTCTCACTATGCACGTAAATTATCCAACTAGAATCACAGAAACAACATCTACAATTATAGATTACGTAGTCTCTGATTTTAAACCCGTTGATGTAGAGCACCAAGTAATTAGCTCAGGTCTCTCAGACCACGAAGCAGTATTTGCCAAATTTTTGATACCCCGTACAGCTCCAAAAAAAGTCCGTCAGCTAGGTAGAATTTTCTCTAAGCATAATTTCAAAAATTTCTATAATTTATGTCTAACTACTGATTGGAATGGTCTTTCTGAAGATATTGACTCTAAATTTTTAGACTTCTTAAATAAATTAATTATGTGTTTCAATACAGCTTTCCCCCTTCGTACCATTAAAACTAAATGTCATAAATCTTGGACAACTAAAGGAATAAGAACATCATCTAAAAATATGAGGTCACTCATGTATATTAAAAAGTACACAGATAATCCCCTAATATTAAACTATATCAACAACTACAGAATATTGTATCGGAAAATCACCAAATCTGCTAAGAAAAACTATTACAAAAATCGCATCGCAAGAGCTAAAAACTCCTACAAAGAAACCGGGTCTATAATAAATGACTTAAGGAATAAAACCCGTTCTTCAAACAGTGTAAATCCTAGCCCAGATGAACTAAACAATTATTTCGTAAATGTAAGTAAAAATATCAAATCTAACATAGCTCCGAGTCAGGATGCTCTCTCCTTCCTCCTACCTACTAAAAGGATCACTGAAAGTTTCTTCCTAAGACCAGTAGACAAGCATGAACTAGTGCAAACCATAAACAACATCCAAAATAAATTTTCCTGTGGAATTGATGGCCTGTCCACCAAAATATTTCTAAATATACCGGATGTAGTAATCAACATTTTAACTTCACTGATTAATGAATCCTTTGAAATTGGTCTCTTTCCTAACTGTCTAAAAACAGCTATAATAATCCCACTTCATAAAGGTGGCGACAAAACCAAAACCTGTAACTATAGACCTATCGCGTTATTGCCTACCTTATCGAAGATAGTAGAACGGCTAATGAAAAACCGTCTTTTGCCTTTTCTTTTCAAGCATAACATCCTCACAGCTCATCAGTATGGCTTTCTACCTAAAAAATGCACTAGCAACGCAATGTTTTCCGTTCTTAATGAAATATACACATCACTTAATGATAAACTTTTCACCGCTTCAGTATTTTGTGACTTCGCAAAGGCCTTCGATTGTGTAAATCAGGATATTTTAATTAATAAGTTACAAATTTATGGCATACAGGGTTCTCCTTTACAATGGTTTAAAACTTACCTAGAAAATAGAAATCAACAAGTGCGGGCGAATAGTGAGGATTCTACAAATCTAGCAATAAGCAGTGGAGTACCTCAAGGATCAGTATTAGGTCCAATTTTGTTTTTATTATTCATCAACGACATCACAGACTTAAGAATAAGTGGTAGAATTACTTTATTTGCTGATGACACCAGTGTAACCTGGAATAATTCTAACATGCAGACATTACAATCTATCATAAGTGAAGATCTAGTGACTATTAAGTCCTGGTCTGATTCGAATGGACTTTGTTTCAACACCAGTAAAACTGTAGCATTGTCTTACAGAGGTACTTTACAACCTATAACTTTAAACAATAATCTGATCCAAACCGTGACTTCAATCAAGTTTTTAGGTCTTTATATAGACGATTCTCTAAAATGGTCTGCTCATATAGATACCTTCTAAAGAGCTGACTCCTTCTACTGCATTAATAACCTACTTTTCCTTATTCGAATCTCACCTTCGCTATGGTTTACCTTTCTGGGGTTCTTGTAGCTTATACCTTTTCGAATCTATTTTTAAACTGCAAAAAAGAGCAATCCGCTATGTATTTGGTTTAAGTAGTAGGACACATTGCGAAAATTACTTCAAAAATTTCAAAATTCTAACCCTGCTCTATTTATTTTCGAATCCGTCTGCTTAGTTCGCAAGCACATTCAAAATTTATCCGAAAGACCGACTCGTAGATATCCTACAAGAAATTTAGAGACTGATGTTTATTTAACAATGCCCACTTCTGACCTATTAAAACATTCCATTACCTACAATGCCAAAAAATTGTATAATAACCTTCCGATGCAATTAAAATCTATAAATACATACGATAAGTTCCGAAGACTGGCTAAAGCTTTTCTTCTAGAAAGACCATATTACACAGTAGCAGAATTTTATAACGTACCTTAGACATTTGAGTTCCACATACAATGGCATTAATTAAATAATTAAATATTAAAGTTTAAATTTAAATTTAAAAATTAAATTAGAATAATTATAATGACGGATATTGCATATCCATTGCAATTGTTATTCCTATTTTGTCTGTTTGTTTCTGTTTATTTTTTCTGCTGTTTAGTTATTTTTATAATATGTTTAGTATTTAAGTTACACGCTTTGTCTATAAAATTTTTGTAAATTTTTTTACGACAATAAAGCATATCTCTCTCTCTCTCTCTCTCTCATTTACGCCGCGTCAAAACAATCTCTCCCATCCAGCAACAGCTCACGTGGCATTTTCTTTGCGCTTCTATTGGTTAATCGGTCGTTAGTCATTTAGACGACGCGCAAATATTTTTTGTCAGAGTCGAATTCAGTTCAATTTGGATAATTATAAACGGCGGTTTAGTAGCAGTCACCGTGTTGGTTAGTTTGGACATTTTGTATGTTTGATTGATTATAATTCATTATATTATAGTTTAGATATACATATATTGTTATTTTTTTTTTATTTTTGTGGTTGTTGTTAGTTTGAATATTTTTTACTCTATTTTATGGACATTTAATTGACTATATTTTGTAACTGCTGCTTGACACTATGTCCTCCACAGATACAGCAGACAAGTCCAGAAAAATGTTTTTACTCCTTCTAAAAAGCGACCGAAAAAGGGACATTTCGTCATCCGTACTAAAGAAATGGTACTTAATATTTATAAGCATTAAATTTTATAGAACCCTGATATGTTGGTACATGATGTTGAAAGGAGAGTTGCTGATAAAACAGGGATGTGCGCTAAAACCGTTTTTAATGTTATGAAGGAGTATAGGCAGATTCATAAATTTTCTGAACTAAAAAATATGCTACGTTATAAACAAATTAGTGGCTCTGTGGATGATTTTGATAAAAATGCAA